ACATCTTTCCATTTACCTGGATGGAGTTGAAATACATTCTTTTTAGTAAAGTATCATAAAAATGGAAAGATAAATATCCAATGTACTCCATACTAATATGAAATCAATATATAAATAATTACATGTTGCTAAGAACAATAAAACCCTATTATAGTCCAGTTCAGGGGTAGAGGTAAGATGGAGGGGAGGATGCATGCTAGAAGGAGGGAGGGCAGGAGGTGGTATCTCACCTAATGCACATTGTGAGGGTGTATACCATGCCCCTTGGGTGAAGGGCTCTTCTACAAATGGAACTTTACCCTGGAAGTGAGTACAATATAACCTAAATATTGTATCCTCATATTAATTTGAATAAAGTTTTTTTTAAAAAGAGAAACGGGGTCTTACTCTTGCTCAGGCTGGTTTTGAACCTGTGAGCTTAGTCAATCTACCCTCCTTGGCCTAAGAAGGTATAATCCTAAGAGTGCTAGGATTATAAGTGTGAGCCATGAAATTCTTTTTTTTTTTTTTTTAACCAGAGACCATCCTTTATTACAGTATTAGTTCATTGTAACTTAATGAAAACATTACTGAAGGGGAATTAACAATTTCCATTTTAAAGAACTAGCTCCCAACATAACAACCAATTTGTATAAGAAGCTCCTGTTGGACAGGCTGACAAGGGACATTGCTAGAAAATTTAATGAATGACACCAAATGTGCCAGTTATAGAAAAATGTTGCCCAGTACATCTCTTAGCTTTGTTGAGAATGTCCTGATACACAAGGTGTACTTCTACACCAAATGTTCAACAGTTAGGTTTTCAGAATCCAAGTTGATAGTGGCTCTTGGTCCTTCACTGACTGACATCCATCCTCTGGAGATGAGGCCTCTTCCTGTTGGGCTGAGCTGCTATGGCTGCCAGCTCTCAATCTATGCACTGCAGCGCTCAGTTCTCAAACCTCATGAAGGCCAATGCTCCTGGCTCCAGTACTCAGCATCTGAACATGCTGGTAACCTTTCTCTTATTTGCAACCTCATAATTAGGCTATCTTCAACACTCTGTAGTGAGTGTGGCATCTTGGCCGCTCAACTACAGTGAAAGGGCAGCCATGAAATTCTTAATAATTTTATCTTTGGGTGTGTATTTCGTAAGTGAAATCTGATGAGTCAGTGGGGTTTATCTCTACCTTACCCAGACTGGTTTTTAGTATCCCACTGCCCACATCCCTCCTGGCACCCTGGGCCCTCCTTGGCATCCCCCTCTCCACTTCTATCCATTGACAACTGTTATCATTGTGCCCTGGAGAGGGAAGGTCAAGATCAGGTGTGGATGCCCTGTAGTGTCTGGGGTGGGGCAGGATAGTGGCTCCCCCAACTGGCTTGCAGTACCATGGCAGCAGTCAGCTGGTGATGAGGTGGGTGCAACTCCTCCCCTCCCAAATAAATAGTGTGTGGAGGTAGTTCATGGAGGTTGCAGTACATTGAGGGTCATCGTGGAACAGTAGGCCTGGGCAAAGGAAAGATGCCTGGTTGACTTCCCTGACCCCCACTGGGGCATGGGGCATTTGGCAGTTTGTGGGAGGGGGACCCTGATAAGCAGCTGTCAGGCCTAAGCTGCTTATCAGCTTAGACAGACAGGTGCCAGAGTCATTGAGGACCCCTGGATGTTGCCGCACTCACCTTGAGCTCCTTGCTGGGGGAGAATTCCTGAGGCTGCTCTTTAGCTGTGGATCTTCTCTTTGTACATTCAAGTTAATTTCATCTGGCCAGCTCCAGCAGCCCTCGGTGATGAGCATCAAAATACAAATTGTATCATTTCAGTGATTCTAAAAAAAGAATGGTAAAATTCATGCTAATTCAAAATTTAAAAATGATATTAAATAGCGATTAAAAATATGTCATTTAGAAAGAGAAATGGGGAAGAAAGGAAAACGCTATATGTTTTAGTAACTTTAACAGGTCTTTCCTCCTGCTTTTTGCGGTTTTTGGCCAGGGCTGAGTTTGAACCCACCACCTCCAGCATATGGGGCCAGTGCCCTACTCCTTGAGCCACAGGTGCTGCCCACCTCCTGCTTTTTGAATAAGGAGTCCCACATCTTCATTTTGTGCTGAGCCTTGCAAATTATGTAGCTGGTCCTGAACCAGCTACTCACGGACCATGTAATAGCAGCCAGAGATTCAGAAATGACCAAAGCAAAGCTTCTGTCCTCATGAAGGTTATAGACTAGTAGAAGAAACAAGATCATAGTGAGGTAATGAGATAAGGTAAACCAAAAAATGGAATAAGATTCAATTTGTGATAAATGGTCTCAAATAAACTGGCAGCTTAAAGAGACAAATATTGGCCAGGTGAAGTAGCTCACACCTGTAATCCTAACATGCTGGGAGGTCAAGGCAGGCAGACTACTTAAGGTCAGGAGTTGGGGATGAACCTGAGCAAGAGTGAGACCTTGTCTCAATTTAAAAAATAGAAAAAATTACCCAGGCATTGTGATGGGCACCTGTAGTTCCAGCTACTTGGAAGGCTGAGGCAGGAGAATAACTTGAATCCAGGAGTTTGATGTTTCTGTGAGCTAGGCTAACATCATGGCACTCTACTCTGGGCAACCGAGTGAGACTCTGGCTCCCTCTAGCAATAAAGAGATAGATCTTATTATATTATCATTATACAATCTATAAATACAGTAGAACCTCTGTAAGTTGACCACCCAGGGGATTGTAACAAACTTGTCAAGATATGGACGTGCTCAACATAAGGAACTTCCACTGAGTACATGTGTTGCATGTCCAGTCTATAAAAATTAGGCTGGGCCGGGCATAGTGGCTCATGCCTGTAATCCTAGCTCTCTAAGAGGCCAGTACAGGTAGATTGCTTGAGCTCCAGGAGTTCCAGACCAGCCTGAGCAAGAGTGACACCCTATCTCTACTAAAAATAGAAAAATTAGGTAGGCATGGTGGCTTATGCCTATAGTCTGAGCTACTTGAAAGGCTGAGGCAGGAAGATTGCTTGAGCTTAAGAGTTTGAGATTGCTGTGAGGTAGACTGAGGCCATGGCATTCTAGCCCAGGTGACAGAATGAGACTATCCCAAAAAAAGAAAATGAGAAGAAAAAAGAATACAAGAAAGTTAGGTTAACTGAAGGAGGTAATCAATATGGGGATGTGGTCAACAACTATGGGGGGTTTACTGTACATAACATTAACTTTACATTAATATGTTAATATTTACAAGATGAGAATATGCTATTCACAAGATGTCATAGAAAGGGGTCTAGAAAGGAGAAGGAATAATATTGTTACCATAAATAACATTTAATGTTAATATTTAGTGAATGTTATATCCCAGGCATTTTTCTAAGTGTTTAAGATGTGTTAACTTATATAGCCCTCATCGTTATCCTATGAGGTAGATGTTATTACCCATCACCTTTTTACAGAGCACAGAGATGTTCAGGGATTTGCCTAAGATCACACACTGAATAAGCAGAGGATCTGGGGTTCAAACTCAAGCAGTTCTGGCTCCAGAGCCATTACTCTCATCAAAAATGCGATACTGGGCAGCGCCTGTGGCTCAAAGGGGTAGGGTGCTGGTCCCATATGCTGGAGGTGGCGGGTTCAAACCCAGCCCTGGCCAAAAACTGCAAAAAAAAAAAAAAAATTAAAAAAAAAATGCGATACCACCTTTATTCTTACTGCGTCTTTCCCATTGCATATTGTATTTGGAATGGTTTCTTTGCCTGTCTATGTCCCCAATAGACTTTAGCTCTTTGAAGGAAGGGACCAATGTTATAAACTGCCATGGTCTCCATAGTCTGTACAAATCTTATACTCTGGTGACAGAGTAGGCTTTCAACAAATATTTACTGAACTGTTAAATTTTAGAATTGGATTGGCCTTGAATGAAAGACCATAAGATTACGAAGACATAACCACTTTATTAAGCTTGAGGAACATCTCAGCGTACTGACACCATAAATAAGGACACACCCAGAAGTAAATAAAGAAATGCTTATTTGTTAAAAGTGTATATAATATATTTATTTATTTTTGAGAACAATAACCACTATAGCTTTGCATTTGACTAATCATATTATGAAAAGAAAATTTTTGATCATTATTACTTCTGTTTGGGATTTAAAACATCTCTTTCTATCCTTACTTCCCAAGTTTGCTACTTTGTTCTAACTATAACAGTTAAGTGTGTTTTTTCCTGCACTTTTGATTTTGTGCTCTACGGCTTATGCCGGGCCAGGCCTGTGGCTAATCATTTAAACAAAGGCTAAATACTTGGGCTTCTTAGTGGTGTGATTGGAAGGAGCTTCAGTACGAAGTGCCTCTAAAATATCTCTTTGGCTTTTAGGAGGATTATTCTCTATTATACCCAGCTAAAGGTACAGCAATATCTCTGAAAAGTAGAATTGAATATGCCTATGTATATATAAAAGTTGGCATGAACTAGCTTATTCATCATTTATTTGTTATTGAGACCAGTAGGCCTTAAAGTTTGTATCTCTTAAGGATTGAGTTATGGGCCGGTATGGTGGGGGAGGGGAGGGCAGAGGAAAGCACAGCAGATTAGTAGCCAGGGCATAAGATTTATTAGTTCTCGGCTCGGCGCCTATAGCTCAACAGGCTAAGGCGCCAGCCACGTACACCTAAGGTGGCGGGTTCAAATCCCCAGCCCGGACCCGCCAAACAACAATGACGGCTGCAACCAAAAAATAGCCGGGCGTTGTGGCGGGCGCCTGTGGTCCCAGCTACTTGGGAGGCGGAGGCAGGAGACTCGCTTGAGCCCAGGAGTTGGAGGTTGCTGTGAGCTGTAATGCCACGGCACTCTACCCAGGGGGACAGCTGGAGGCTCTGTCTCAAAAAAAAAAAAAAAAGATTTATTAGTTCTCCACAGTTTTTCCTGAAGCTGCCTCTGCCAGTAGTTCAGTATACTCCATAAAGTTATACTCTATACTACAAAGAAAAGAATTACCTAATGATGACCAATAATGTTTTGTACTTTGTTTACAGAGACAGTGAATGCAACAATATCATTCTCCTTCAAAGGAATCCGATTTTCTAAGGTATTATTCAATAGATTTATTTTCTGTTATTAATATAGATTTATTATCCAATAGATTTTATTTTTCTAAGATATTATTCAATAGATTTATTTTGTATTTTCTCAACTCGTTACAGCTATAGATATGTTAAGAATTGGAAACAAGCAATTCACAACTTCTAAAAATAGCTATTCAAGATTAAGATGTTCGTTTGGTCAGGCCCAGTGGCTCACACCTGTAATCTGAGCACTCTGGGAGGCTGAGAGGGTGGATTACTTGAAGTCAGGAGTTTGAGACCATCCTGAGCAAGAGCGAGATCCTGTCTCTAAAAAAAAAACTAGCCAGGCATTGTGGTGGGCACCTGTAGTCCCAGCTACTTGGGAGGTTGAGGCAAGGGGATCACTTGAGCCCAGGATTTTGAGGTTGTTTTGAGCTATGATGCCACAGCACTCTACCAAGAGCAACAAAGTGAGACTCTGTCTCAAAAAAAAAAAAAAATTAAGATGTTTAAAAATCTTTTTTTGTACTCTTATCTGGTATTAGATATTTTGGTATTTCTCCCTTCTTTAGAATATGGAAAAATTGCAAAAAGATAGCTATTTTCATTCATTTTTTTCCTCTAACATACGTGGCTAAAAATAATGTGAATGCTCATTACTAATCTTTTGAATGGTTTCCAGATGAGAGCACTGCATGACCACTATGTATGTTGGTAATTCCTTATAACTATTCACGTAATAGGCTAAACATAATATATAAAATGTTTACGAGAATAAAAGTCACATAAATTATAGGCTTATTTTATTCAAGATTTTTCTTGGGAACTTTGGGCATACAGGCCTTTGTAAAAATACCTACTGACTCAAAGAAAAAATCTCATTGTAATTTTAGATATTTGCTTTACATATCTAGCAATAAACGTTTGTACATTTTACTTTTAGTGGCTATTTTAAAATAAACTTTGACAATGCATATTCTTTAGTTATTTTGCTATAAGTTATATTTAACATTTGAAAACCTCATGGGCTAGTTTTTAAAACCATTAAAAATCATGTTAGAATTGGGAAATAAATGGATCCTACCAGGTATGCTCACTGAATCCAAAGACACAAAATTTCATCTCATTGGAAACTAAGAACATGATAAGCTTAATGGCTTAAATGGCTTAAATCAGCTTAAATGGCTCTCTGCTAGTAAGACAAAGTTTTTACAAAAGCCTTTAAAATAGTATCATCTGACATTTTGTATTACTTGTATTAAATATTTCTTATTCCTTGTTTTAGGGACGATACAGATGTATTGCTGAAGCCATTGCTGGGAGTAATGAAGAAATGCTCTTTTGCTTGAATTTTACCATCATACACCACCCTAATTTAATTTAGAATAAATTGAGCGGATTTTTATTTTTCAAAGGTACCATTCTTATTTCAAGGCTGCTCAGGATTTGTTTTAATTGGGTATGATAAGACAGAAAGACACATTAATGACCATCAGAAAGACAGAACTTGTCCTTACAGATCTCTGGAAACAGCAGGCAGGGTGGGCCCCCCAGAGTGAATGGGCAGCACCAGGGCTAGTCAGGAGGTGGAGGGAGGGCAAAATGTGGGCAAGAACTTTTATTTTGTTTTCCATGGGAAGTAACAGGTGAGGTAGAGTAGACAGTCTCAACCTAAAAGAAAGAAGCTAAGGCAAATTAATTAAGTAGAGAGTTTATTTGGGTTAAGCTTGAGGACCACAACCCAGGCACATAGATTTAAGTTGCCCTGAATAGATACTTCAATTAGCAGGAGTTAATAGAGGGCGATCAACAGAAAAGAAGCCATACTCTGTAAAATAATTTAAAGAGCTTTATTCTGACCCATATTTGAGGGCCATGGCCTGGAGCCAGTTCCAAGAAGCCTTGAGCAGGTGGACTCACCCTGGTGAGCTACTAGTCTGGTTTTATACATTTCAGGGAGACAGAAGTTACAGAGAAAGTCATAAATCAATACATGGAAGTCATCCATTGGTTTGGCCTGAAGAGGTGGGACATCTCAAAGAGGTTGTAGGGGAGTTTAAAAATTATTTGGCTGACAATTGGCGGAAAGAGGTTTTGTCTAAAAGACCAGGAGTCAGGAGAAAGGAAATGCTTTTTTTTTTTTGAGACAGAGCCTCAAGCTGTCCCCCTGGGTAGAGTACCGTGGCATCACAGCTCACAGCAACCTCTAACTCCTGGGCTCAAGCAAGTCTCTGCCTCCGCCTCCCAAGTAGCTGGGACTACAGGCGCCTACCACAACGCCTGGCTATTTTTTGGTTACATCCATCATTGTTGTTTGGTGGGCCCGAGCTGGATTTGAACCCTCCACCTTAGGTGTATGTGGCTGGTGCCTTAGCCTCTTGAGCCACAGGCTCTGAGCCAGGAAATGCTTGAGGTAAGATAAGGTAGTCTGTTAATTGGAGACAAGCTACCAGTTACCAGACCTATACCCAGACTTAAGTGATTTATTAGGTACATTGAGGACCAGCAATTTTGTCTTACATAGCTTTGGACCTGTTAATGAGTTACACTGGACATCTGTGAGAAGGGAGGGGTTCCAGCCACACATCTCCAGCTTCTTCCTCCAAGATAATCAGCACACTCAGACCTTGACAAATCATTGTTCCCTGAGCATGGATGTACTTTCCCCAAATGTATGCACAATTTGTTCTTTTTTTCCCACTTTGTTTTATGCTGAAATATAATTTCTTTTTTGTTTTTTTGAGACAGAGCCTCAAGTCACCCTGGGTAGAGTGCTGTGACATCACAGCTCACAGCAACCTTCAACTCCTGGGCTCAAGTGAGTCTCCTACCTCCGCCTCCCAAGTAGCTGGGACCACAGGCGCCTGCCATAATGCCTGGCTATTTTTTGGTTGCAGCCGTCATTGTTGTTTGGCGGGCCCGGGTTAGATTTGAACCCACCAGCTCAGGTGTATGTGGCGGCGCACTAGCCACTTAAGCCACAGGTGCCGAGCCTGAAATATAACTTCTAATAGTCCTCCCCAACCAATGTTATAATGACACAGGTTTCTCCTGCTCTGGGCTGGACATGAACCCCATTTTCTAGGCCTAAGTAAGCTCATCTATGTTCTCTAGGACCAAGCAGGTCCAAAGCCAGTCTGACCAGCATCCCACCTAAGCCTCCACTCTTGGAGCAGAGAACATACCCTAAATAAGACCAAATTTCTACACAAGGGCACTTTTAAAATTAAGTTCTCTCAAGTCCCTGGTGCCAAACTGTTGTGACATTCCATTTCCCCAAACCTGCTTGCCCATAGGGTAAGAAAAGCAGTGTATAAACCCCTAGACACAAGGCCCACATGGGGTATCTGCTTGGGAACACTCCTTCAGCATTCCAAAGACTTTGACTTTCTTCTATTCTTACCTATCAATAAAATTTGTCCTTTTGCTGACCCAAGTGGTCCATGGATTCATTCTTTCAATCTCTTGCAGAAAGAGAAATTCCTACAATAAGACGCCTATATAACAGAGGCTCTGATTAGATGGAAGCTTATTTCTCTCTTATCCAGGACTGATGTGGTGCCTTGAGGACCCAAACACTTTGGCTCTGGTCTGAATGGTCCAAAATGGCTCCTCATCATATCCATAACTCAGCACCTTTCCAGTAACTACTGCTCACACAGCTGGGTGTGGTGGCTAACACCTGTAGTCCTAGCACTTTGGGAGGCCAAGGTGAATGGATTGCTTGAGCTTGGGAGTTTGAAACCAGCCTGAGCATGAGCAAGACCCTATAGCTACTAAAAATAAAAAAAATTAGCCAGGTGTTGGGGTGGGTGACTATAGTCCCAGCTACTTGGGAGGCTGAGGAAAGAGGATCCCTTGATCCCAAGAGTTTGAGGTTGCTGTGAATTATGATGCCAGGGAACTGTACCCAGGGCAACAGAGTTAGACTTCACCTCAAAACAAAACAAAAAGAACAATACTGCTCACACAATATTTATAAAATAATCAGACATCACTGTTTTAAGTGTTGTTTATTACTTGTCTTTTCTTGCTCATAAAAAGTCAGTGATTTATGAAAACATTGCTTAGATAATTTAATTGGCCTTGTATTCTTTCTTTTGGTGAGATCCTACAGTTTTCAAATTGCTCTTTGAATTTCTTCATTGTATTTAATAGTATTTTTAAATAATATTTTACTTGGCTTAGTTGATCTCAGACCTCAATTCATCCCATATGTCCCACTATTTTTTTTTTTTTAAGACAGAGCCTCAAGCTGTCCCCTTGAGTAGGGTGCTGTGGCATCACAGCTCACAGCAACCTTCAACTCCTGGGCTCAAGCAAGACTCCTGCCTCAGCCTCCCAAGTAGCTGGGACCACAGGCGCCCGCTACAACACCGGCTATTTTTTGGTTGCAGTCGTCATTGTTGTTTGGCGGCCCGGGCTGGATTCGAACCTGCCACCTTAGGTGTATGTGGCTGGCACCTTAGCCACTTGAGCCACAGGTGCTGAGCCTGTCCCACTATTAAGAAAAAGAGTTTGGCTTGGCACCTGTGGCTCAACCGGCTAAGGTGCTAGGCACATATACCTGAGCTGGCATGTTTGAATCCAGCCCGGACCCGCCAAACAACAATAATGGCTCCAACCAAAAAATAGCTGGGCGTTGTGGTGGGTGCCTGTAGTCCCAGCTACTTGGGAGGCTGAGGCAGGAGACTCGCTTGAGCCCAGGAGTTGAAGGTTGCTGTGAGCTGTGATGCCACTGCACTCTACCCACGGTGACAGCTTGAGGCTCTGTCTCAAAAAAAAAAAAAGAAAAAGAGTTTATGGAACTGAACTTTTCCTTGCACCTGAACAATTTTATGATCTCATTTCTCCTCCCAATCCTGCTCCTTTCCTCTCACCCCAAATAATTGGTTTCACCTTTCAATAAATTTCATAGTTGAGTTTTTTAAGAATTCCTGGGGATTTCTATGTTGCCCATGGAAGAGTCACTTTCTTCTGTAAAATTATAAGGTAAATAGTGGCCATTACATTGTGCTAGCCTTCCAAAGTCATTTCAAACTATACTCTTTGTTCTTTTTAGTTCTCTTCTCTTTTCTAGTGAATAAATAGAATTGTTTGTAGAAAATTGCCCTTGATCTGCAAACATAATTCAGCTAAATCCTGAGAACAGTAATTCTTTTATTTTGGTTAGTTGATGGCATCATCACAAGCATCCTCTGGAAACCCCCACGGCTTATGGAAGTAGCCATTTTCCTCACTAGTGATTTCCTTTAGGAATTAAGAAAAGACCATGGTTTGATTGTGTGGCCCTGAGCAGCTGAGGCTGAAAGATTTGCATGGATTGTTATTCTGCATAAAGAAAATTAGGGTGGGCAATTTTCAAATGAACAAGTATACCCCAATTAGCAAAAATCACGGGAGACTTAGAAGGTAGTTATTCCATTAGAGCTCAATGCGTTGAGGCCAAAAGGTTTGGGTCAATTGCACAAATCCTCCCACAGAGTTACATTAATGTCAACCTTTCCTGATATCATGCTAAGGTAAATACCATGAGAAAGTTTTGTTTTGTTTTTTGAGAGAGAGTCTCACCCTATTACCCTGGGTAGAGTGCAGTGGAGTCATCTTATGTCACAGCAATCTCAAATTCCCAGGCCCTAATAATCATCCTGCCTCAGCCTCCCAAATAGCTTAAGACTACAGGCACATGCCCCCATGCCCGGCTAATTTTTCTACTTTTTGTCAAAATAGGAGGTCTTGCTATGTTGCCCAGGCTGGGCTCAAGTGATTCTCCTACCTTAGCCTCCCAAAGTGCTAGGACTACAGGTGCTAGGACTAGCGGTGTTAACCATCATCCCCAGCAGTTTTTTAATTTTATTTCATTTTTTTCAGTTTCTTTATTTTATTTTATTTTATTTTATTT